CACCAATATCACAACTCGTAGAGGGAGTGTCGATGAGGCAAACTTGTATTTTCCCTCGTTATGGAAACCTTTATTTCGTGTGAAAGTGCATTCGTTGGCTGATCTCACTAGAAGACGACTACAGAGTCCCTTTGTTGCGCAACCATGTGGCTTTAATACGAATTCATATTGAAGCAGTTAACGAGACATCCTGCCTCATTGCGGCGGCAATCGGACTGAGCTTTGGTCCATCATATGACGGGCGGCATCTGAGCTGGATCTTCTTCATTTAAAGTTTCAAGCTTTTCAAACTAATATTAATCCGACACTTACAAGAATCAATTGTAGTTACGATAATGTCCGTCATATGGTTGACGAAACTTTATCCCAGTTTCCCCCGAAATGGGGTAAAAGGTTTGGCGGACTGAGTCAACGTGAACGTCGTATTACAACCAAACGGCTACAGAACAACGCGAGTCAGATGCCGTCTTCTGGTGAGATCAACTAACGAATCTCTTCTGTATGTACTTTAATACAGGATGAAGCCTCTATAAAAAAAAGCCATCGCAACCCAGCCGTAATAATTTGTATTGTATCCTGCCACTATAATCGACTACGTTATTCATATTTGAGGGTAAGTGAAAATCTTGAATGAATCGAATAAATTTCCGACAAACTGATATTTGAATTCTCCCCCCATAATGTGGGAAGCAGGGAAGCCAAGTAAATTTCGGTAGATACATCGATTTATGCATTTAATAAATAAGTTATTCGAGACTACTAGCATTCACAAAAACCTACTTATTAAACGAGAAACAAGCAAGGTTGTAGATCTTTATAGCAGATACAAATTTGCTTCAATAAAAATTCCACTCAAGAATGTGATCTGGAAAAATGTCTGGCCTTTTTTGGAATTTTCATCTGCCTCATGACTAAATGGCACTCGTGTCAGTGTTACGGAGTGGATTACTTGTCGAAATCATGCCCTGCACTGTCAAGGTGCGAGTCCCGCTGGAGGGGCAGATGGAGCCAATTAAGGCGAGGTCGAAAATGCAATTTACTCCAAGCCTTTTGGAAGCAAAGCCATATGAAATTCAATATAAACATTAGGTATACTCATAAACTTGTAGAAAAATTCAATTTCTATCCTTGGTCACCTCAGAGGAAATAGAGTGAATACAACTTTTAGATCAAATTATACGACTTAAAATAAGTAGAACTAGTATAGCCTTCGACATATATAATTGCAAAGCTAAATTAATAAGTTTCAATAAATCTACTGGGATTACAGTGTTAGGGAGAGATTTTTTCGCATGAGAGTGCATGAAAAAGAGATTCTAAGGTTGATCTCACCAGAAGGAGACGGCTGATTCCCGTTTTGCCTTTATTCAACATTCCGATTGACGAAATCTACGAGACATTCTACCTCATTTTTGGTGTCAAAATGCTGGGCTTTCCTGCATCATATGATGAATGGACGCAGACCAAAAAGACTGTTCAGCTCTATATTACCTATATAAACTCATAGCTAAAAACGAAAATATATAGAAGTAGATAGAGATAGAATGGTTTGGTTAGTTATCTTTCATATTGATCATACTACATTTGTCCGAGTGCGTTTGGATGTATGTGTGTGTGTGTGTGGTAGCATAGTCTTCTTGACCTAATGTTAACGTGAGACTGTCACACGAATGTGTTCTAGTTCTAATGATGCCCATCATATGATGGACAAAAACTTAGCCCATTTTAATGTGGAACAAGTGAGGATGTCTCGTGGACTGTGTCAACCAGGAGGTCGTATTGAAGCCAAACGGCTGTAATAGAATGGGACTCAACCGTCGGATTCTGGTGGGATCAACCTTCAAATATCCTCTTCATGCACTTTTATACGAAATAGGAGATTCATTGAAATCCAATTTCTCCTTGTATCTAAAATCTCACTTTTCCCAGACTTAACTATAGGTTCGACCTTACTCAAGCTTCATTAGCTCCCCTAATAGGATTCGAAATCAATCTGGCATATCATAGCAACACAATGTCTCTCAGCTAAACAAATACTGGTGCCAGTATGTGTGACTTCAAGGCAAGACACGTCCTCCAAAAATCACAGTTTTGTACTGGCTAAGACAATAAGGCAAATATGTATTCTCCAGTACAAGTTAACAATTTACTTATTTGCTTTGAGAGTATGTTTAAAAACTATTTGTTAGTCTTGGATACGAACTTTGTTCAACGAGGGCACACGATGACTGTGCTAAGAAAGATCAGAATGTACCCATGAAAGAGGCTTATACTCACTCATTGATATAAACGTTTAACTAAGTTTAATCGAAGGTATGAAGATCAAGATGGTGTGTCGCAGTCTCTTTTCGTTGTATAGAAATTGTTTGACCTTGTCTTGGCACCTTTGAGGAACGCACCTAGTCCGGAGTCCATTGGATGCATCATCATTTCCAGAGTAGGACCTTGGACGTGGTACATTCCCAGACGTTTCGCTGGCATCGTTTAACTAAGTGTTTTCTTATTGGCTTCCTCTATTTCATCATAGAGGAATACAAGAGGCGGGATGCCGTGGAATATGTGCTTTGTACCGTGTTAGTTATAATCCCCTTAAATTCAATTTGAATAACGGACCATGATTAGGAAGAGGTGCCAAATGAGGCATGGACACGTTAGATGATTCTTGTGAAATAGTAAAATATGATAGAATTTGTGTGATGCAACAAAAATAAATTTTTGTTTTTAGGTAGAATTTCGATGCTACCATTAAATCAGTTTTCCGAGATGTATTTACCTTATTTCGTTTAAGGTAATAAACGACTGGAAGCTGAATTTTTCATACAATTATATGAATAGAATATGAATATAAATAGACGGCAATTGCATTGAATTCCACATAGCATTGCTTTCTCGAAAGTTGTTCTCATTCAGGGTGAACTGCAGTTTCGGCTTTGCTTTTTGGAAAGCAAAGCGATGTGAAATTCAATGGAAACGTCAGCTCTTCTCATATTATTGTGAGAAAAAGTCAACTGCCAGTCTTCATTACCGTAAATGAAATAGTTTGAATATGTATCATTAAAAAAATTAAATATTCGGCTTACTTCTATTTGGAGTGGAAGTGTATGGTGAAGATATTCGAAGTTCAAGCTCATCAGAAGACGACAGCGGATTCCTCTTGACTATTTGTCGATTGACTTTTAAGTTCATATGGAAGTGCATGAGGGGTAGATTCGACTTTGTTTTCTATTGATGCTGTTTCCCATTTCATTGAAAATCTGCTAAGCTTACGTCCGTCAAATGACCGACCTTATCATAGAAGGATATCATCCTTACAACCATCTTCAAGCCAACAAGTCTATTTGACTTATCATGAATATGGTTGTAGAAATGATGACCTGCCCTGTTCACGTCCCTCATACGACAGATGAATGCGTAGCACATTATCACTTCAATCGGAAACAATATCATCAGGAATGTCCCAGTAAAGCCACTCATCAGCTGGTCAAAAGGAATCCCCCGTCGTCTTTTGATGGGCTCAACCTTTGAATCTCTTCACTAAACACTTTCACTCGAAATGGAAATGGGTTAACAATTATAAACCGAGTGATTCCTCGAAACCCCACTTTTCGTAGCATACATAAAATATTAATAAAAGATGTATTCACGCAATTCCGTTTAAGGTGATGAAGGACTGGTAGAAAAAGAATTTTTCCACAATGATATGAGTTAGGCTGACTTTGCCATTGAATTTCACATAGATTTGCTTTCCCAAAAGTTGTTCTTATCCACTTTTTTAATTCACTTTTGGGAAAGCAAAGCTGTGTGAAATTCAATGGAACCGTCAGATCAACTCATATCATTGTGGGAAAATTCTTCTTCTACCAGTCCTTCATCACCTTAAACGAAATTGGGTGAGTACATCTCATACTACTGATTAACTGGTAGTCACGAAAACAATACCTTATTCGAAAAATAAAATATTAAGTTTCATTAAAATGACCAGAGACCACAGGGACGTACCGATTGCTTGGGGATAGAAGGTGTTCATCTGTGGGACCATGTTTGTACTTGAGCCCGATTTCAGCTCAAACTGTCCAGAACCAAGATAGGGAAGTGGATAGGCCGACGGATAACGTTGCTTCGTACCAGATTGATGCGGACTCGAGGCAAAGTGTCCAGCCGAGGCTGTATTCTGGCTGGTCGAACCTGCCCCCGCCAGAGAAGTGGAGTAGTACGAAGAGTGTCCGGTCGTCAAGGACCTGTAGGCGGCCAAGGAGGGTGTGTAGGCGGCGTGTAAACCGGCCATCATGCTGGACACGGTTCCTCCGGTCTGTTGCTCCATGGCAACTGGCATAACAAAAGAGTCAGACGTCTGAATTTCCAGACTGCTGGTTGTCGGATAGCCGGAAGAGGATTGCCACCACGAGGCTGTTGGATAGTGGGTGGGACGGAAGGCGGTGGAGGAGAAGTAGCCTGACGACAGGCCAATGAGGCCGGACGCCGCAGAGCCGGGCAGCTGGTGAAGACCCTGGCTGTAGAGAGAGGACGTTTGGCCGGTCGAGTTGCTAGGCGTTGAGAGTGGAGCCGGCGGATTTCGGGGACAGGCGAGGGCACTGAAGCTCGAGGAGCGCGGAGTGAGCGTTGCGTCGGATGAGGAGGAAGAGGAGGAGGAGGACGACGACGACGACGAGGAGGAGGAGGAGGAGGAGGAGGAGGAAGAAGAAGAGGAGGAAGCAGAGGCTGCGAGGAATGGGCTCGACGAAATGGCGGACGAGGAGGTCGAGGAGAAGACAGATGAGCTACAGGAGGAGGCTGTAGTGGGACTCGAAGTCGAGGCGACAGCCGTGGAGTCTGTCGGCGGTGTTGCGATGTGCATAAAGTCGGCTGGTGAGTATGTGGAAATCCGCATAATCGAGGCTGTATCATCGCGCTGGTGAAGCGCCGAGGAGAAGGTGGCCGAGACTGGCGATGCAGAGCCAATGAGGAGGGTCGAGGCGGAGGTGGGCGTAGGCGTGGAGTTGGCCAAAGGGGTCTGGTGTCCGTGGGCCGGAACCGGAGCCGGAGCCGGAGCCGAAGTGGAAGCAGAAGTTGGAGCCGAAGTGGCGGTCGGAGCCGGAGTTGGTAGGACGAGGCCCGAGTAGGCCGATGGCGAGGCGACCTCGAGGCCAGACTGGGCCGAGGTCGTGGAGATCATGTGTCCTCCGAAGCCGGAGACATGTCGGATGGGATAGGGTTCCGGGAAGCCCGTGGCCTCGTGCTGGGCCATGGGCAAGACGAGTTGGTCGGTGCGTGGATGGAGGTGTTGGTGGAGCAGTTGGGACTGCTGAGATGTCTGTAGATGAGGCTGGGACTGGTGGGTGTGATGCGTCTGTGAGAGGCCGCCGGTGGAGTGCTGAGGCTGGGCCGAGGACAGGCCTGGGCCGGGCTGTAGATGTCCGGCCGACTGAGGGTTCATCTGTCTCGGGGGAAGATGCTGCTGGTTGAGACTGTGTCCGGACGTCTGGAGATGAGCAGGGCTTGAGGTGCTCTGCCTCGGAGACGGCTGATGCAAATGGTGCGATTGGCTCTGTTGTTGCTGTTGCTGATGCTGATGCTGATTCTGCTGATGCTGCTGCTGGTGCTGATGTTGATGTTGATGTTGGTGTTGATGTTGATGTTGGTGTTGGTGGACGTGGGCAGCTTGAGCGGCGGCCTGGGCGGCGACGGCGGCGGCAGCTGTTATTGCAGCCGCCGTCGAGATGTGACGCTGCGACTCGTTCGACAGGTTTCGCAGAACTCGGTTGATCGAGGATACCTGATGATGAGAGTGACAAGATGTTGAGACTATCAGTAGATTGTGACTGAAGGTGATGGAGGACTGACAGTTTTTACTTTCAATGCAGACAGTAACTGGTTTTCGATTAATTTTCTGGCGTAAACTGTTGGGAAAACTCTTTTTTAATGTGAAGCGACAAGAAGAAGAGATTCGAAAGTCGATCTCACCGATAGCCGACAGCTAATCCTCGTTGTACTGCAGCCATCCACGAGGCATCCTCCATCTTTTCGGTGGAAAATGGGCTTAGCTTTCGTCCATCATATGATGGACAGGACAGGAGCTGGTACTCATTCTTGTAAAGGTCTCGCGTCAGCACTAGGTCGGGAAAACTACGCTAACGTGTGTACACACACGTACACATGCACACGTGCACACGCACTCGAGTAAAGCTGGTATGGTTAATATTAAAGAAAACTTATATATCTTATTTACTGGTAGTTTCTAAAACTTGCTCACTTACGAAAAAAGTATTGTCGTCGATTGATATGGCTAATATAAGTTTGCTTTATCGACAATCCCAACACAGAATTTGGTATGGAAAATGTCTGACATTCCTTGCAATTCACATCTACCCCGTGACCCAAGGGCACTCGTCGCCCTGTGGGATGGTGGTCAACGTGTCGAGATTAGACGCCACCCTGTCATGCTTCGACTTTCGCTGGGAATGTTGAAAAGACCTATGCGAGATCGAAACTACAGTCCACCCTGAACGAGAAGACCTTTTCACATAGCAAAGCTATGTGAAATTCAATGGCAACGTCAACTCTACTCATATCATTGTGGAGAAATCAACTACCAGTCCTACTTCACCTTGAACGGAATAGACTAAACACAACTCATATAAATATAATCAGCTTAATCATTCTTTATCTATTAATGTCTATTAATATTATATAAGATGTATTCACCCAATTTCGCTTAAAGTGATTAAGGACTGGTAGAAGTAGAATGTTCCCACAAATGATATGAGTGGAGCTGAGGTTTCCATTGAATTTTTACATAGCTTTACTTTCCCAAAAGTTGTTGTCATCCAGGGTGGGAAACGTCAGCTCAACTTATATCACTTGTGGGAAGATTCTACTTCTACCAGTCCTTCATCACCATAAACGAAATTGGATGAATACATCTTATAACTGATTTACTGTTAGTCACAAAAAGCAATACTTAATTCGAAAAATAAATTATAGAAGTCGATTGTTATAGCAAAACATACGTTTGCCTCATCCACAATTCCACAAAAAAGCATATTATATGGCAAAAAGGCCTGGCCTTTCTTGAAAATTCCCATTTTTCTTGTAACCCAAAAGGCGCTAGTGGCAGTGCAGCCGAGTGGTTAGCGTGTCAAGCTACCATCCTGCACTGTCGCTGTTCGACTCCCGCTGAGGGTGTTGATAAGACCAATACGAGGTCGAAACTGCAGTCCATTGGTGCTTGAATGAGAAAAACTTTTGGGAAAGCAAAGCTGTGTGAAAATTCAATGGAAACGTCAGCTCAACTCATATCATTGTGGTAAAATTCTTCTTCTATCAGTCTTTCATCACCTCAAACGAAATTTGGTGAATACATCTCATATTATTGATTTACTGGTAGTCACGAAAACAATACTTAATTCTAAAAATATTAATATTCTTTTGCTTAATTGATGCTATATGGGAGGTTAGATAGAGCCAGATAGTTATCTTGATCGAGTGATAACGTAAGACTTTTACCAGAATATGCTCCAGCTCTGATGTTGTGCATCATATGATGGCCGAACATTCAGCACATTTTCGCCCAAACGAGGGAGGATGTCTTGTGGACTACGTGAAACTGAATGTCGAATTAAAATCAAACGGCTGCAGTAAAACGGGAATCAGCCATCATCATCTGTTGAGATCAACCTTCGAATCTCTTCTTAGTACACTTTCATACGAAATGAAAGTCTTCCCAACAATAATTCATGAAGCCTATTCTGCTCTAATCTATATTAAACGATACAGATAATTGTAGATGGTTATTAAATCATTTGAATGTTGAAATAAATTCTTTTATCAGAATTGTACACGCCCTAATTCACCTAAGGTTGTAAAGGAAGGATAATTGAATTTAACCACCCTTATACGAATGAGACCCACGTTTCCGTTGGAATTCCTTTAGCTTTGTCTCTCAAAAATTATTATTATCGAGGCTGGGCTGGACTGCAGCCTAACCCAACCTGGGTCTCAGCACCACCCCTAGCAATAGTCAGGCCCGATTAGTACAGAGTATAATCTCGACATGTTACCAAGACGCCTCTATGCGTAGAATGCTTTTGGATTGCAGGACAGAAATTACGTTTATTTTTGGAAAATTCGTTAATTTCAACTTGGCTGTGACGATGATACCTTGCTTCCATTGAATTTAACAGCGCGATCAAGTTTAAAAAGCAAGTTTAGACTAAATATAAAACTTAGTAAACTAGTCGATTTATATATAGCAATTATAACTTTGCATCATCGAAAATCCAACCATATACTTTCATGAAATTCACATCTGCCTTGTGACCAAATGTCACTTATTGTTAAGGCGTCAAGATTACACACTGCATTGTCATGATTCGAACCTGTAGCTCACCCTGAAGAATAACACTATGTGGGAAAGCAAGACTATGTGAACTTCAATGTAAACATCAGCTCTACTGATATGATTATATGAAAATTCGACTACCTGTCTTTAATCACTTTAAACGAAATAGGGTGAACATAGCTCAACCTTTTCTTCTTAATGAATAGTCAAGTGACAATACCTCACTAAGTTATTTGTATTTTCCGATGGCCTCGGGCAAACATGTGAATTAAGCTACAGACGGTTCCGTTTTCTGCACGTATAAGAAATCTTATGTGTTATACTGTATCATGTTTTTTCTCGACTGAAATTTCGCATTCGCTCTTGGTTGACCTTCCCTCCGAGTGGGAGGTGTTGGTTGACAAATAACACGTTACTACTTTGCCCACACGACCCTGGGCGCATAACGATACACACAGAGCCTGAATGTCCAGGAAATACAGGTCGGTGTGATTCATGTAGTGCAAAATAGCGCCTTATCCTTCTCTATGGATACCCTCGCTATCGGGAGCTGTAGCACCATTTGGCATACTGTTTCACTGACCGAGCTATTCAGATTCTTGATTGTAGACACAGTCAACAGGATCATAGTTCCGAGTATTTTAAAATAAATATGCTCAGTTGTTATGAATGTCTGCGCTGCTCACTTTGATGATAAGTTTAACGAGTGCCAAGTTGACAACAAAATTGGACTATACCAATTCTCCACATTCTCCTAAATGCACCCAACAGAGCGAATTGAAGCCAGTTGAAGTACTCACCGAATCATGTTACAAATTCAATCCCCATCCCCTCATCCCTGGCCAACTCGGGCATGCCCACAATCGTCTAGACAAATACACATGCTTACGTAGAATGCCATACCCACATATGGGCTAGAGACATACAGAAGAATGGAGGTGATAGGGAGGTTGGTGATTCCGAGTACTTGTATAGCGGGGCACACACATACTCCGTCACATAGACACACGCATAACCACATCAAGACTGTAGTTCCCCAATCGCCCGACTGAATTGGGAAAATTCACTGACGAACAGGCTTCCCACTCCCCGTAAACGACATATGCCAACCCTTCCAATATGACCATTTTGTTCATCTCTCTCCTCTTTCCAGGTCTGCTCACAACCTCCACTTCGTCTCCCCAGCACGAGGCCATCTGCAAGATCCAATTAAGCCAGACCATCCTTAAATCCCCTCTTCCACCTCTTGCCCTCATCACCATTCGGCCGGCCTATCGTTGGACGGTGATCTAATCCGCCCGCATTCAGCTATGACGACGCAACTGGCAGACAGAAGAGAGGAAAAAAGCAACGGCCCCAACCTGCACACGACTGACGGGGGTAGGAGGGTAGAAAAGAGTTAAGTCGGCTGAAGGGAAAATTACGCCATGGGTGGGGAAAGGGAAAATGACTGGCTCAGTTGCTCTGGTGGACGCTTTCAGCACGGATTTGGCTGAGCAAGAGCTTTTAGGGATGGGCAACTTCACATGAACTACAACAGCCGGGGACAAGATTAACTACGATAACTTGGTTTTGACGAAAGACAATGATTACATGTTTCGATGCCACTCTGTATTTATGCCAGATTGCCTGTTGCACCCTGGAATCATACGTACTCGGCGCTTTGTCTACCTCTGACAGTGGCCATTTGAGGAGATGCCCAAGAAAAGGCTTACTGTCAAAGCGGACAAAATGAAAAGCTCATCTTCACAACTCTGTGCCAAGGCCCCGGTTTGGGGAAGGTGAAACTTAGCCTTATTTAATGTTTGGTACCGAGGCTTGTCCGATCTTCCATCTTGCAGGTTATGGCTCGTATTAACCGCCTAGCAACCTGGGGGAAGCCTCTCGGTTTGAAAGATTCCGATCAGCAAATGAAAGCAGAATTATGCCAACATTCAACCCTATTTAGCAAAGTGTAAAAGAAGTGTCAAGTTGCATTGGCCATTTGGATGGTTGTTGATATGTGGAGAAGTCAACCTTGCGGGATTTATGATCCTATGTAGGGGCTTCGGCATTTGGTTGAGGAACCCAAATGAACGAGTCTTTCTGGTCTAGTGTTAGCCCAACTCCATCGTGCAAATCATGTAGAAGCTTGAAGTTGTCTGACAGATGTCTTGTTTTCATTAGAAAAGACTTAAGGGCCCTACTAAATTAAAGGTATAAACCTATTTTAGAAGGTCACAAACTTACTTTGTCATTAAGTAGGATTACGAAACTACCAGTAAATAAGATATATGAGTCAGCTCTACTCATATGCTTGTGGGAAAATTAAGCTACTTGTCCTTCATTCTCTTAAACAAAATTGGGTGAATACAACACATATAAGGTTGCCAACTTAGCCAACCTAGCCCATATAAGGTGACTTTAGAACCAATAAAAGAGATATTTTCACAATTATGGTACAATTGAATTTCTCAATAAAACACAATCATCCCGGTTGGAGTTTAGGTTTGACCCGGGCGGAGTCACATTTTTTCAAAAATGGTTTCGGAACTGGATTGTGAGGGTCATGGTGAAAGTTGCATCAGGGAAATTCCGCCTTGTATATTAATGAAAACGGTGATTGTGTAATGGAATGACAACCTGCTGCCATGATACACTCGATTTGCTTTGAATACTATTGTGACTGCTGATGAAACTATAGCGAGGTCGAACTTGGATATGTAGATCTCTTTAGAGTATTGCTCTGTGATCTGGGAGGACTAAGCTCTCATTTAAAAACCACCGAGTGTCTTACAAATAAACTTTATCGAAAAATTTACAAGTTTCCTTTTCCTGCTACATACATTTAGTGTTTGCATGAAGTTTACCATTCATCATGACCTCAAAGTGAGGTTCTTATAAGTCATTCTTCTGGCATGATATCCAAAAGTTCAACCCCATTCAATCATCAATTATGGTACAATTGAATTCAACACCATTCAATCATCAATTATGGTACAATTGAATTTCTCAATAAAACACAATCATCCCGGCTGGAGTTTGGGTTTGACCCGGGCGGATTCACATTCTCTCACAAATGGTTTCGGAACTGGGTTGTGAGTGTCATGGTTAAAGTCGAATCAGGGAAATTCCGTCTTGTATATTAATGAAAACGGTGATTGTGTAATGGAATGACAACCTGCTGCTATGATACACTCGATTTGCTGATGAAGCTTTAGCGAGGTCGAACTTGAATTCCAACCATGGATATGTAGATCTCTTTAGGAGTATTGCTCTGTGATTTGGGAGGACTAAGCTCTCATTTAAAAACTATTGAGTTTCTTAAAAAATTAACTTCATCGAAAAATTTACAAGTTTCCTTTTCCTGCCACATCCATTTGGTGTTTGTATGAAATTTACCATTCATCATGACCTCAAAGTGAGGTTCTTATAATTCATTATTCTGACATGATATCCAAAAATTCAACACCAATCTTTGAACCTCTTCTCTCAGACAACAATAGTTTGCATGAGATATATTTGCCCTAGTTCTTTTAAGATGATGAAGGACTTCTAGTTGAATTTTCCCATAAGTATATAAGTATACCCTACATTTCCAGTGAATATTACATAGTCTTGCTTCGTAAAAAGTATTATCATCCATTCCTTTATTACCTTAAAAGAAATTGGGTGAACGAATCTCATATATCTAAGATACCGGTATCTTGGAAACCCTACTTATAAACGAAATACAATAAACATATAGAAGTGGTCTTACCTCGTTTTTGCAACCTGATCGTGTTGTCAGGACGACCTAGTTGGACGTACTTTGTCAGAAGTCCTCTGCTATATAAGTGATCACAATTTCAATCATCACACCGTGGAATTGGTATATTATCGGGCATTTCGACATCATCAGTGAGTTTTGCCATTCTCCGCACCAAGCTACAACGCGTCAGAGACAAATGAAGCCAATCCCTTGACTTGTCTCCGACGAGTTGTAGCTTATTGCTAAGATTAGCGAGACTCACTGATGATTCCGACGAAGTGTCTAGGAATGTACCAAATCCATGGTCTAAAGCTGGGAATTATGCTAACTACTATAGCAGAGGACTTAGGACAAGTTACTTTCAATCAAGTCTCTCTGACAACACGACCATGTTGTGAAAACGAGTTCAGATTAAGTCTGAAAATAAGTAATGTAATCGATTGTTATAGCAAATATAACATTGTTCAATCGACAATCCAAAGACAGAATATGATATGGGAAAATGCCTGACCCTTCTTTAAATGCATATCTATCCTGTGACACAAGAGCACTCGTTGCTATGTGGTGTAGCGGTTAACGTGTCGATATTACACGCTGCATTGTACTTGTTCGACTCGCGCTGGTGGTGTTGATACCACCTTGCTAAGGTCAAAACTGCAGTCCACTCTGGATGAGAACACCTTTTGAAAGGTAAGTCCGTGTGAAATTCAATTCTACTCACATGATTGTGGGAAAATTAAACTATCAGTCCTTCATTCCCTTATACAAAATAGAGTGAACACATCTCATGAAACTGATTTACTGTTAGTCTCTAAACCTTATTTATTAGCGAAACTCTATAGTTTGTAACCGCACTGAATGAAGTTGGGCATATAATATCCTGAAGAAAAGTTGGGTTTCGAGGAATCTCTTGTTTCATAATTGTTGGGATTACTTCCATTTCGAGTAGAAGTGTTT